TCTAACTCACTGCATGAAATAAAGAGATTAACATTAAAAATTGGAAACCTGATCTTTGTACAAGACCTGGGGCAAAATTCTGGTAGAAATGGAACAAAGATATGGTATAATATAGGGATGTAAATAAGTTGGGCCCAACTGGCTCGTGAGTCGAAAATTGTGGCTCAGGTGAGGCCTGAACAAAAAAAAAGGGCTTTGGCCTGAGCAAAAGCTCGGTCAAAACACCGAGGCTTGGCTCGGGCTTTAGGGTCGGGGCTTATCGAGTCAAGTTGAGCCGAATCGATTTTTTTTTTTAATTAATTTTTTAAAAAAATTGTTTTTCAGGCAACTGCTACTGCTTCTATACATAAAGTGCTTGGCAATTGTGGATCTTATCATAGGTTTCTTGAGTTAAAATGAGTTTTCTTGATTTCTATTGTTTTTGGCACATGGTGATGGTTATCAGCAAAACCAGTTTACAGAAGCTTATAAACTAATAAATACCAAAAATTAACGCAAGAATAACACAAGCAGCAAAAAGAGAAAAAATAAAAATAAAATTCATTGTTTACAAATATAATATTTTATTATAAAATAAAATTTCATTTTTATCATTTCACTTATTTGAAAAAAAAAAAAAACTGGTTTCGTTTTGGTTGGTCGGACAGTTTTCGTTTCTTAAATTTCATTCATTGCACACTTGGCTCGCCACTACTTGAAAATGTGTAATGGATGCATATAAGTGTGTAATACTATAATAGAAGGACCCATTTTGTTGTGATTCTTATTATTTCTATCAAGGGCCATTTTGACTTGCCATCAGCTTGGGCTCGAGCCATCGCCCAAAAATGAGGCTCGGCCCGAGCCTTGGCTCGCTTCCACCGAGTGGCGAGTCGAGCCAGCTCGGGCTTCTAAGGGCCAAGCTGCAGGCCACTCGAGTTAACGAGCCAAATTGATATTTTAATATTTTTCGTTTTGTCCTTCATTTTATACTAAAATAAATTTTAATTCCTATCATATCCTTTTATTTTTTATTGATATTTTTTAATCTGATCATTGTTTTTATTAACCTCTACGTAATTTTTTATTTTATTTTCATGTTAAATGTAGTAATTTTTAATTACTATTTATAATGTAATGCTTTTTTAAAATTTATTATAATGAAATATTTGAGTAAATGTAATTTTTAATTTAGTAATGTTGTTAAAGTTGCACAATTTTTTATGAAATGTATTGTAGATGATATTAGTGATCAATCAAAAGTGGTTGAGGCATGGACATCAATATGCAATTGTGTAAAGTCCAATTAGTTTTGTTGTTTAGTTCTCGAAATTGGTGTATTCATTTACAAATGATCAACTAACACACTTCGAAGAGAAATGCGAGCATCTTTATCCTTGATTTGCCTATGTCGAGCATTGAATTCTTGAAATCGGGTATTTGCAACCATCTCACCTTTTGAAGTTGGTGCTTTCATCCGATCATTATTTGATAATCAACATCATGTTCATCATCGATTATCATGTTGTATATAATTATGCATATAGTCAAAGTAACATGTAATAATATATATTTCAAAAACATGTCGATCCTGCCACAATTGCAAACCATATATGATTGTAGAATGCCAAATGTAGGTTCTACATCTTTTTTACATCCTTCATGTTTTATTGAAAATAATTTTGAGAAATGTTTGCGTAATTATGCACAGGATCATTATTATAAGAATAAGTAGTTGAAAACGAGTTTGAAAAAAAATGAATTTAGAAAATGAGGCTAAAATAGTAACCAAAAAACAACCCAACTAGGATAAGGCAAAAAATTGATCTAACCCGTTGACATAAAACCACCCCACTAGGGTAGGATTCTATAACCTACACTACAGACCTATTTCATTAGGCAGGGCATTTTTTCTATGAGCCATGCTATGTGTACATAGATGTACACATAGGGGTTCCCATAATGTGAGTGGGGTGGGGCCCATGCTAAACTATCGTGGGCACCACCTCACTCACGTTATGTGAACCTCTATGTGTACATCTATATACACATAGATTAACCATTTTTCTATCGGGTAGTCGAAACGTCACATGGGGGGCTACGTAACCAAAATGATTTTGCATAGAGGTCGTGCCAAGATGATCGAATGTTAAGAGCTCAATTTCTATACAACGTAAGACATTCTACATGATCAATAAGGCACATAAAATTGTGAAATAGGATTAAGGATTCATCATCATGGTCATAAATTCATGGAGAAATTACATATTTGGATTTGATCTCATTCCCAAGAATTTACTCGATTGCAAAAATAACACTACTACAAATTCCAAATAATGGATTGAATACTTTAAGCACAACTAAGAACGAGCGCAAGAAAAATTCATTTGAACTACATGACTAATCAAGAGTTTGGAGCTCGCCAAAAGTTACTTGAGAAATAGAACAAACATAAAGTAATACTACCTTTATAAATTTATAAAAATAAAGGAGAACGTTAATATACTAGAAGTGACATAGCTACTCCTAAAAAATCAAAATATTTGCAAAAGTACCTCTTCAAGGCCTTACCTTACATTACCCTACTGTAGAAGTGTTAAGTACGAGTCGACATGTGGCTCATCCCACTAGCGAGATGAGAAGCGAGAAGGTAAGTTAACTCTCTCACCAGCTTGCATGACTGGTTACCAATCTCTAGACCATGCAACAATTTGGTCTCCATTATGTCTTCTAGCAACAACACCAACATAGGAAATTACAAATAGACAAGGACGTCATACCATAGATCCAATGTCCAGGAATGTGACACGACTAAAGGAGATGAATGAGGACACATATACAAAGATACATGTGCTAAATCATGCAGTCCAACTCCTATATAAAGATGATGAATCCAAGGTATTTGGTCATTAGATTTTTTCTCTACATTTAGAGTTTTAATATCTTAAAGGAAAACGGGAGAGAGCTTCTCACTCTCTCTTCATGTTATCGAAGTATCAAAGATACATCTGATCATCGGAGCGACATTTCCTACAACCCATATTTGAAGGTAATATCCTATATTTACAATTAACACACCTTAGATATATTATTCATGAAAAATATTCTGTTAACTTTGCCAACTAAAAGCAATGTTTCAATACATAATTTGTTATTGATTAGTGTAATTTGAAGAATTTAAAGCACGGTGAGTCGCTCAACTTTGAGTGGAGGTGCATCCAGGTCACTCATCTTCAATTTTATGCAATTACATCATCCGACTTCAATTTGATTGCATATCCAGTCCCTCATGATCAATTTTATGCAATTAAGTCTCCCAACTTAAATTTAGTTGCGGATCTAGTCAATTTGTCCACTACTATTAGTTTAAGAAATAAAATATGTTAACCTGGACGTTAAAAATAATGAATAGTTACATGTAAAATGTTCTTTTAGTTAGGGATGGCAACGGGGCGGGGTCTTTGCCCCGTTTACTACCTCATTTAAATTTTTTTTATAATTTATTTTTATTGCCCATATTCATTAGATTTAGACAAATAATTTTAGTTTCTATTTTCTATTAGAACTAATGAAATTTCGTGAAATTTTCCACTTAAAGTATTGAATTCTAAAAAAAAAAAAATTAACGGGGCGGGGCACCCATTACCCGTCCCCGCCCCGAACCAAACCTGCCCCGGGGCAAAATTCGCCGCCTCGTTCCCGCCCCGAATACCTGATTAAGCCCGTTATTCCCGCCCCGAATATGAGTAGTTCACATGCACCACTGCTCAACATTGAGTGACCTGCCATGCATTTAACCTAATTTAAAAGAAAATTTTATGTAATGTAAACGGTAAAAATAAAAATGCAGCTACAAATAAAAAAAAAAGTAAAATTGGAATTAATGACAATTCAAAAACACAAGAAATTTTATAAGAAATTAATTACATAATGAATTCCTTTCTAATGTGTTTTTCTCAATGATAAAATTTAATAAATAGGAGAGTATTGTTAAGTTCATGAAATATTAGACCCAAAGAGAGTTTAGTATCCTGTCACGTTTCTCATTTTTTTTTAAAGAGAGTTTAGTAAGATTAGGTGTACAAATTAATCTTAGATTAAATTATTAAGTCCCTATTTGATAGGGATTAAAATTTAAATTTTAATATAAGTCAAAATCAACAATTAATTTTTATCACATATTTTATGAGATCCCCATAGTTTTTCAATCATGCATTTTATCAACTTTTATCAAAATTTATTAAAAATCTGATTTTAAGGGATAAATCTCATGTTTTAGTATTTTTTATCAATTCGGCACATCAGTGGAGTATTTTTAAATACTAAAAAATTAAAATAAAATAGAAAACCAAAAACTTTGGAGGGTGACATATAAATGAACCTATAACCAACGAGCTAATGGTAAAAAAGAATAGTTACCCCGGATTATAATACAAAAATACTTCAACACTGATTTCTCTCTGAAATGTACAGAAGTCACCAATAATGACAGATTCAAATCCATTGCCCCCGCAAAGAGACACTCCAGAGTCTGAGTCCCCAAGAATTGTGGAACAACAGCTATCCTTAGATGACACGATTGAACGGTGCATCGGGGAGTGGGGGTGGATACAATTCTTCCAAGCCACTTTTATATCCTTGGCTTATTTTTTCGATGCACAACAATGCTTCATAAGTGTTTTCACTGATGCTAAGCCAACATGGCATTGCACTTCACCCAGTAATTCGTCGTGCAAGAATATCTGCCGAATTCCAAGAGATTCTTGGAACTGGGATTTGCCCGCTCACACATCCGTCATCTCGGAGTGGTCCCTTGAGTGTTCCGGCTCCATCATCACCGGCCTCCCGACATCAAGCTTCTTTTTAGGCTGCCTCGCAGGTATATTTGTCCTTGCAACCCTGGCCGACTCCTCTTTAGGCCGGAAGAACATGCTTCTTCTTTCTTGCCTGCTCATGTCTATAAGTGGAGTCTTAACCGCATTCTCCACCAACGTATGGATGTATACTGCTTTGAGATTTATCAGTGGATTTGGTAGGTCAATAATTCTCACATGTACACTCGTTTTGTCCACGGAACTTGTTGGGAAAAAATGGA